AAGAGTGCTCTGTGCTGCCTGGCTCATCCCTCTGCCAGAGGAATCCTCTCAAACATGTATTTGCCGTTTCCATTTCAACTGATTCCCATGGCAGGGAATGCTCCTGGGGGGATTTCTACAGCTGGAAACATCATGGGAATACAAAGATGTTGCTGGTGCTCAAACTACATACTCACTCCTTCAGCTTTGATCTCTCATTTCTAGTCACACATCTCTGGGCAGTCTGCTGGTGCTTCCTGGTTATTCCAGAACTGTATTTCCCATGTAGGAAATGACTGTATCTTATATCCATGTTCCAGAACAGAGGTCACACCATGGCAGACACCGTTATCATGGGAATACAAAGATGTTGCTGGTGCTCAAACTACATACTCACTCCTTCAGCTTTGATCTCTCATTTCTAGTCACACATCTCTGGGCAGTCTGCTGGTGCTTCCTGGTTATTCCAGAACTGTATTTCCCATGTAGGAAATGACTGTATCTTATATCCATGTTCCAGAACAGAGGTCACACCATGGCAGACACCGTTCTTCTGCTCCACTGATTTAATGACTGTATCTTATATCCATGTTCCAGAACAGAGGTCACACCATGGCAGACACCGTTCTTCTGCTCAGGGCCACTGATTTGAGACCAGCAGGACCATCCTTCTGCTCAGGGCCACTGATTTGACACCAACAGGATGATTCACACTAGTTCATAAACAATATTGACTTACACAATGAGGGGCAACACAGCTGCTGCCATTTCCCTGACAGAAGAACAAACTGAGCTGTATTTAAGTGAACTTCCCTCAGCTATTTGGGCTGGACATTTGGGTGGCAGCAGCAGCATGAGCTGCACCCAGAGGACAGGCCAGCCCTGCCCCTGAGAGCTGAGGCTACACTTGCTGTGGGTGCACAGGGTGTCTGCAGGGTGGTGATGGCAGGCATGGGTCAGCCTGTCTCAGGGACAGCATGAGGAGCACATGTCAGAGCTCACTGGGACATTCATGCTGTGCTCTCCATAACAGCTGGTCCCACCACAGCCCTTCAAATAGACTGTCCTTGGGGGTCAGAAATGCACCCTCCAGGCTGGGAAACATGGTCTGCCTGTGCCCACAGCTCCATAGTTCTGCCTGAAGGGTGGGCCTGGGGGGGACAGACCTGCAAACCTACTGGGGAGCTGCAGTCTGCTCACCCAGCAAACACCACATCCCACTGGGGGAGGGATGCTTTGCAGCTCCCTGGAGTGACCAGCACAAGAAAGACATGGACCTGTTGGAATGAGTCCAGAGGAGGTCACTAAGTTGATCATAGGGCTGGAGCAACTCTGTTCTGGAGACAGGCTGAGATGGGTCTGTTCAGCCTGGAGAAGGGAAGGCTCCAAGGAGAGCTTAGAGACCCTTCAAGTGCCTTCCGGAGAAGGGCAATGAAGCTGGGGAAGGGACTGGAACACAAGCCCTGTGAGGAGAGGCTGAGGGAGCTGGGGCTGTTTAGCCTGGAAAAGAAGAGGCTCAGGGGTGACCTTATCACTCTCTACAGCTCCCTGACAGAGGTTGGAGCCAGGTGGGGTCAGGCTCTGCTCCCACGGAACAGTGACAGGATGAGAGGACATAGTCTCAAGCTGGGCCAGGAGAGGTTAAGGTTAGACATCAGGTAGAATTTCTTCCCAGAGAGGGTGATCAGACACTGGAATGTGCTGCCCAGGGAGGTGGTGGAGTCACCATCCCTGGAGGTGTTTAAGGAGAGACTGAAGGTGGCACACGGTACCATGGTCTAGTGGCCACAGTGGTGTTAGGTCATGTGTTAGACTTGATGATCTCAGAGGTCTTTTCCAACCTGATTGATTCTGTAAAGGGGCTCCCAGAGAGCTGGAGAGGGAGTCTGGACAAGGGCCTGCAATGACAGGAGACAGGAGGGTTCTGTTGGTCTCAAATCAGTGGTCCTGAGCAGAAGGAGGGTGCTTGCCATGGTGTGACCTCAGTTCTGGAATGTGGGCAACTGCCAGAGGGCAGGGTTAGATAGGATATTGGGAAGTAATTCTTCCCTGTGAGATGCTGAGACACTGGCACAGGCTACCTAGAGCAACTGTGGCTGCTCCATCCCTGGGAGTGCTCCAGGCCACGCTAGATGGGGCTTGGAGCCACCTGGGCTAGTGGAATGTGTCCCTGACCATGGCAAGGGGTGGAACTAGATGAGTTTTAAGCTCCCTTCCAACCCGAGCCAGTCTGTGATTCTCTAAACATTCCAGAAACCAGCTGATTACACAGAACTGCAATCCTCTAGCTGTTCCACCCCCAGCAGGAACACTGCAGTGTTCTCTGCCTAAGGACATGTCCATGGGAGGCCTTGTCTTTTCCAGACCATTTTTCTCCCCAATCCCCACACAGATCCCAGGGCACCCAGTGCAGAGATTTTGATGATTACCCTTTCCTATGTTGTTCTGTGGCATTAACTGCCCTCAAGACCTAGAGGATAATATTTTTTTTCCTCCACCTCTAACAAAACTTGATGGAAAGCTCAAAGCTTCAAGGTTGCTAAGCTCAAGTCTCTGTCTCTAAGTGACAATTTGGAAAGGCACCTCTCACACTGGGTTTCCAGCTTAAACAGCTGGTTCCACAGTTGTTCCAGCTGGGAACCACAAATTACCAGGAATGGAAAGTCTAAGTGCAGCAGACAAGGCCAATGACTAAACACTGCAGACTCCCAGGATGGAGCACGTACACCAGTGCTCAGCCTCGCAGGCCATTCCACGCAGGACAATTTCTGCGTGGCTGTGTGGGAGCTGCAGGGTCTGGGGGCTTTTAGAAAAGAAACCTTCTAGTTTCTTCTGGTGAAAGAAATCTTCTGCTGTCCCCAACAGCAAAAGGGCAATGAACTGTTGGAGCAAGACCAGAGGAGGCCACAAAGCTGATCAGAGCACTGGAGCACCTTCCCTACAAGGACAGGTTGAGAGAGTTGGGGCTGTTCAGCCTGGAGAAGAGAAGGTTGTGTGGAGACCTCAGAGCAATCTGCCAGGAGCTGAAGGGGCTCCAGGGAAGCTGCAGAGGGACTCTTGGTAAGGAAATGCAGGAGGAGGACAAGGAGGAATGGGGAGAAATTGAAAAAGTGAAATTTAGGTTAGATCTTAGGCAGAAGTTTTCCCTGTGAGGGTGGTGAGACACTGACTGTCCCAGGTTGCCCAGGGAGGCTGTGGCTGCCCCAACCCTGGCAGTGTTCGTTGGCTAAAGCCTTGAGCAACCTGCTCTGGTGGGAGGTGTCCCTGCCCAGGGCAGGGGGTTGGGGCTGGGTGATCTCTGAGCTCCATTCCAACTCCTTAACATATTATGATACTAAGAAACCATCTCAGCTATGAACCAGTCTCAGCAGCTCAGAGTTGCACATGGGAAACTTACCACTAAGCTGATGCATCTACTGTTTTTATTGGTTTTCAAGATCCCAAATTTAGCTGAAATGTATTTTACTCCCTATGAGGACTCTCTATGCAGAGCCCATAGGCTGCTGTATAGAAACACACCCTAACTTTAGACAAGCAGTGTGCAAATTGCATCCACCACTCTAAAAGGCAAAACCAAACCAAATTAGCAAAAAAACCCTACAAATACTTTGAATCTGAAAGCTTTGCTATCATTCTCCTTGGCAAAGAGCACTTCTCTAATCACTTCATCATTTTTTTCACCTACTAGAAATATTCTTCCCCTTTCCCCCAAGATCCTCCATTTAATGGACAAAAAAAAGTGTTTAAAATAAAAGAAAAGCAACTTTGGTTTCTTTATCCCTCTGTAACTCAGGCCTTTACACTCCAGCTCTTTTATAGGAGCTGCTTACATCACTGAGAGGTAACTTTTCTTTTCACTTGTAGCTGCAACTGCACAAGCTCTTCCCTGTGTGCTGGAATGGGAAAAGCAGTCAGGAAGGATTGAGGGTCTGTCCCAGTGTCCCGAGCCTGGACATGCTCTGCATGCTGTGAGGAATTGCAGTGTGGGGAGGCTCAGCCTTACCTTCCTCAGCTCCTGCTTTTTCCAGAGAAGCTGAAGGGTTTTCAGCAACAGGAGTGGGTCCTGGCCTGGAGGAGGGGAAAGAGAGAGAGAGAAAAGGAGGGAGAAAAAGAAAACAAAGCAGATTTATTGGCTGTGCAGAGGCAACCCAGACACACTGGGGCATTGTTCACCCTAGAGGAATCAGCTACTCCCTGCACTGTGCTGGAAACCACCAACCTTCCAACTGCCAGTCAGGATTAGAGCTAAACCCTGCACTGAAACCCTAACAAATCCCAGCCAGCATCCAGGCATGGCTTCAACTCAGCACCCTGGGGCCTCCTACACCCCAGAGCTGTCCTGCTGCCTCTACAGCTAAATCCTGCTGCTGCTCAGCACCCCTTCCACCCCCACAGCCCAGTCCCCATTCCACAGAGAGCAAAATGGTCCTGCAAGAGTCAGCACCTGGCACAGGTTGGGAAGGATGATCAGCACATGGATTTGTAATGAGCTGCTCTGGATGTAATCAGGGCAGCTGGGGATGGAGGGGGGACTGGGTGAGACTGGGGCAGCTCAGCCCCTGTGTGCTGGGGCCAGTGCAGGGCAGTGTGTGCTGCAGAGAGGAGTGTGCCCATCCCAGGCTGGACTCTGGACACAGGCTGAGCTCTGCAGGGATTCAGGCAAAGTGATATCCGACAAAGAGGGAAGACAAAGAGCTGCTGTGATTAGTGGCGAGGCTAAACAAAAAGGGATCAAATACTTCACAAGAAGGTTATTTGGAATTTTCCTCTTACTTTTCACCTAGTCATTGCAGAACTTGCATTCGCTCGTGTCTGTTATCATTGATTATACCATTATTAATCATAGCAGCATCGTTCATCATACCAATGACTCATCAGACCAGTATTCAGCACATCAGTATTTCTGAACTAATTGCTCAGGAATAATTCATTTTAAAAGAATAGCATTTTGGATATCTGATTCCACCTAATTTCATTTTTAATCCCATTTAATTTGCAATCATTTACTTAGGAAACCATGACTCAGAATGTTCTCAAGGGAAATCATCTATGGCATCAACAGTTTAAATACCAAGAATGAATCTAAAAGTGTGAACGAGCTCTCCAAACCACTCCTAGTGCACCTCCTCTTGTGTTTTCATAGAGCCACATGAAAAATGTTCAACTGCAAAGGAAACATCCTTTCAATCACCTTCTGTGTTGTTCATTCCTGAAGAGCTCCTTTCCAAACCTAAGATTTCATGCTCAGTATCCCCTCACACTTCATATTTCAGGTCACAAAAGCCTACTTCAGCTGTGAAAGGCTTTACCTCATCCAACTGAGCTCTGACGCTCTGCATTTAGAAGAGATTTGCAGTAGCAAACTGGTTACTGGTCGAGCCAAGAGCCTGAGAGTGTTCCCATTATCCACTAACCTCTGGGAAACAGCAGCCAAATGAAAAATGCCACATTTACAATTCATAAGATAATATTTTCTCTCATCTCTGCTTGTTCTGCAATGCTGAAGTCTCCAAGCACTGCCTGTTCTCAGCTACTGCTCCTCCTCTGGAGAAAGAAAAGGCTCTTTTTCCACCAGAACAGAAGGAAAGCCAGATCCCAACTCCCCACTAAATTAGCAAATTACAGGCAAATTCAGCCCATGTGTGTGTGCCTATCTGCACACTCTCCCCTTGGCCTGACTCCCAAAGAAATTTATACACACACAGGGAAAAAAATGAGAAAGCAACACAGTGTGTAACCAAATACACTGTAAATCTGGGCTGTAATTAATGCAGGGAACAGGCTGGAATGATACAGGAAATGAGAGCAGTTAGGAGAGCAATGTTTCACTTCAGATACAGCCCATAACTCAGCTTGGTAGAAACTTTCTAACCCTCAATTAACAACCCCAGCCCTCTCCTTACTGCCTTTTCCTACCTCACCTCCCTGCAACTACAACCTGAGCTCACTCGTTCGATCATACACTCATGGATGGGAACATCTCTCCTGTCAGTCTTAACCACCTCACTGGTGCCACACTGGCACCATGCAGGCTCAGGTACCCAGGGAACTCCTTCCCTTGCTCAGACCCTGGCAGGGAATGCACCCAGAACTGAATTACCCCACCTGGAGTGTTGTGTCCAGCTCTGGGGTCCTCAGCACAGGATGTGGATCTGTTGCAGCAAGTCCAGAGGAGGACACAGAGATGCTCCAAGGGCTGGAGCACCTCTACCATGGAGCCAGGCTGGGAGAGCTGGGGGTGTTCAGCCTGGGGAGAGAAGCTCCATGGACACCTTAGAGCCCCTTCCAGTGCCTCAAGGGGCTCCAAGAGAGCTGGAATGGGAATTGGGACAAGGGCCTGGAGGGATAGGACACAGGGAATGGCTTCCCACTGCCAGAGGGCAGGGACAGATGGGATACTGGGAAAGAATTCTTCCCTGTGAGGGTGGTGAGACACTGGCACAGGTTGCCCAGAGAAGCTGCGGCTGCTCCATCCCTGGGAGTGTTCCAGACCAGGTTGGATGGGGCTTGGAGCAACCTGGGCTGGTGGAAGGGGTCCCTGCCCATGGCAGGGGGGGGGATGGGATAAACTTCAAGCTCTCTCCCAACTTAAACTAGTTTGGAACTCTATGAACAGCCTCAGGGCACTGCCAAGCCCCAGGGCCAGGCAACCAGGCCTGGGTCCAGCCACTGGGGCAGGGGAAGGTCAGTCATGAGGAGGGCAACCATCCATCTTCTGGCTTGAACTGACACAAAGGTTTTGGTCTCCTTTCAGTCTGTGCCTAAGAAAGAGGCAATTCCCACCCAGTTCTCCAGAACAGGGACTGAACAAGGAGAGAAACCCTTACCTGGGAAGGCTTCTAATGGTCTAAGGATGAAACTTAGAGGCTAAGCAAAATAACCCATAAGCAGTTGCTCACAGAGCCAAACACAAATGGGACAGCAAAGTCACATAATGCTCTTGTGTCATCCCATCAGAGAGGAACGACCCTGCAACCTCACACTGGACCTTGAGCCACTGCATCCAGCTACTCCCCAAGACAGGAATGTGAACATCCACATCATTTTGTCCCCTGAAAGACATGAACAATCTGTCTGTTCTTTCTCCTGAAGGATCTCTTTGGAGGACAGGCCTCCTCATGGGCCTCCTGGCACCCCTGAAAGTGAAAAATTAGTGCCTTTGGCCTGGCTAAGGAACCAATAACTACTGCTATATTCCCACTGGAATACCAGACTGGTTGCTGCTCACCCACAGCTGAGAAGGAACCAGAGAAGCTGTAGTAAACTCATGTCAGGTTATCCAAGGAAAAACAACAGGACCTTTTACTCATACGCTTTCCAGACAGATGATTGCTGCACACTGAAAGGAGAGAGGGAGAAATGCAAGGGAATGAGGAGTAAAGCAAAGTGACCACAAACCAGGTAGCCATAACACGTGCATCTGGGCACAGCTCAGAGGACAGGAACAGGAAAACTGCAGTAGGAGCAAGAAGCAGCAATCACTATGACACGTGTTAAACTGGGACAGAGCAGGCCCTGCAAGGGCAAGGATGGGGCACATCAGCCTCAAAACCACCACCATATGTCCCACCTAGAACACCCAGAATTTCCACTTAAAAAGAGAAGTCGAACCCTGCAGAGACTTCTACATCCTGAAGAGATATTCAGCTACTAACAAGAGAAAGTGCTCCCTCTGACACTGATCCTTCACAGCTCCAGAAAAGAGGGTTGAAGAGCATAAAACACCTGGCAAGGCCTCACCAGAAGATGATAATAGCATGTTGGTTGAGATCTCAGAAAGTCACATCTGTGCCCACTCCAGCAAGACACAAATGACTTCAAGTTCTTCCCCTGACAGTTTCTCCCAATAACATGTTCCTGTTTTAAACATCTGAACATTAATGTATTTCCTTTTGACATTTTTCATTCTGAAAACAAATGAGCTCTGCCCTCAGTCTGGTACCAGAATGGGAGGAGATGGTAAATCAAATGTCTTCCAGTTCTCAAGATCTGTGGTTACATTTCAAACCCATAGAAACCACAAGGCTTCTATTTTTCAGTTAGAAAAGTGCCTTTGAGGAAAGCCATAAAGTACTTTTTGTTCATTCCCTTCTTTTCCTTTGTGCATCCATCACTCCAACCCTGCTGTAATCACAACAAAAGCAGTGCCTGAGGGCTGCTGAGGTAAGCTCTGGGTTTGCTGCTGAGGTAAGCTCTGGTTTTGCTGGTGAGGTTTGCAGTGGGTCCTTGCAAAATTTTGCTGCATTATTCACTGGTGCTGCTCAAACACCTTGGCAAGAGAACTCAGTGTTCTGACGGAGGCTCCTCGTGTCTCTTGCCTGGGGAAAGTGAGACATCCAGCCCTAGAGGAACTATTTTCCAAGGAAAAAACCTCCTGACACTTTCTCTTTGTGTCCAAAGCCATTAAAGGACCCAAGACCTGAGACCTAGGAAAGTTATAGACATCTGAACACGAGACACAGAATGAAAAATGAAAGCAACCCTAAAAAAGAAGGTTAAAATGACTGAAACACAGGGTCAGAGCCTAAAACTGTCACTTAGAGCTGAAATTCATGGACAGGAAAGGTCAACAACTAAATATTAATTCTAGAATCACAGAATCCTAGAATCACAGAATCTCCTGAGCTGGAAGGTCCCACGAGGATCATCAGTCCAACTCCTGTTCCTGCACAGGACACCCCAACAATGCACCCTGTGCCTCAGAGCATTGGCCAAACACTCCTGGAGCTCTGTCAGCCTTGGGGCTGTGACCTCTGCCCGGGGGAGCTGTTCAGTGCCTAAACCCCTCTGGGGGAAGAGCCTTGTCCTGATATCCAACCTAACCCTCCCCTGACACAGCTCCAGCTGTTCCCTGGGTGCTGTCACTGGTCCCAGAGATCAGAGCTCAGAGCTGCCCCTGCACTGCCCCTCGGGAAGAAGCTGCAGATCACAGTGAGGTGTCCCCTCAGTCTCCTCCTCTCCAGGCTGAACAGACCAAGTTCCCTTTAGCACCATTTCCAGAGCTCCCTCACCACCCCACAGACTCATTCCGTAACTGCACCTCCTGCAAAAGGCAAAGATGCTTTAGA